ATATGTATCTAGTTAGTGAATTAATTAAATTTGTGAGTACTTTCCCAAATTCAGAAAACTATGTGATATCACAATTTATCATGAGTAAGATATGCAAATTTACTAAGATATTTAATAAAATATTTACTTTTAAAACAGTCCAGAGTCACAGAATCACTACTTCATTGGGCACTAGTAGACAAGACTTCTTTTGCCACTTTCTGAGTATGTCTCTGCTTTCTCTGGGAAGAGAATCTAAAAGCTGGGGAATGTTCCTGAGTAGTTAGCCTATAGGAACTATCTAGAACCACCTGCTTGTTTCGTGTATACCACTAGGCTGCTTTCCGATGCTGGGGGAAACTTGGATCAGTCTCTGCTCTGATCCATAGCTTGCCAGAAATGGGCACTGCATCTCATTGTCTGAGTGCTCCAAATTACTACTTAGTAACCCTTATTTCAGTAGCATCAACAAATGAAGATTTTAATTGCAATGCTATGATCACAGGCAGTTAACTTATGTGCTTCAATCAGTATAGATGACTGGGTGTGTAATTTCATAAATACTAAAACCCAAAACTGATTAACGGCAAGGAAACAAATTTAGTGAGGCAGGATATGAAGTTCCTAACATGTTGTCCCCGTTGGAGAATACCTTTGTAATAAAACTCCTCTTTACAATTTTATAAGAAACATTTTTTGTGCCAAGATTTTGGGAAATATATATAAAAAAAATCCTGTTATGTTTCTATTGTAATATAATATTGTGATTATTGATTATTTCTTTGTCATCTATATCTAGAATCTCCTCTTCTTTCTCTAGCAAGATCTTTCACACAATTGAGCCAGCTCCATGACAAGGATTCTGTGTTAACTTGCCAGAAAAAAACATTTTATCTTTTTCATGAACATAGTATGGCATATTGTCCATACAGAATTGTAAAGTTCATGGCTAAACAGACTTAACATTTATTTCTCTGAATGTCATCACTAGGTTGAAGGACACTGGCTTAAAAACGATTTCCATCATTGCCACAATAAGAGTCTAAATTACTATTTTTTTCTGTTGAAAAACAGTAAATCATGAAAGCTACATGATATGTGCTTGTCTGAGACAGACCAGTTTGTCCTTAAGTTGGTAGCTATGTTAGGGGTTTAAAAACAAAATTAGAGGCTCCAATTCTGTAGTGACTTGAGCCAAGTATTTACCTTGTTGGATGGAACTTTATTTTCAGTCATAGAACTTCAAGCTTACAACCCAGTGTGCTTAGAAGTACTGCCATTGAAGTAAGACTTTGTGCAAACATTCTTTTCATATATCCCACACACAACCAGAGGCAAAAGAAAGGGTTACAGAAAAAGGCAATGGGAAATTAAAGACAAAAGGGCTGCGCTGTTGGGAAAAATTCAGCTCTGGAGACATCACTTGTTCTACCCACCTAAGGGTGTAACTTGAACTGCTGCTGAGTCACAGCTCATTTGTACTTCAAACCCAGGCACTTAGTAACTAAGAAAATCTTATTTGGATTCTCTCTCTACTGAGGTACTGACATGGGAATAGCCATTTCCATGTAAAATCAGAGATTATCTTCCCTTGAGGTCAACGCCATGCCTGAAGCCTGTTCTGGTTTCTAAAAGACTGGGAATTGAACTAGTCTATGGTCTTCAGTAGATGAAGATGTCCTAATGGGCCCTGAAATGTAGTGGTTTTCTTAAACGTTCTTAAAATTTTTAGATAATTTTAAAAATAAAGTTTTATTTTATGCAGAAGAGAACTATACAAAGCTGAAACAGAAGCATCAAAACAATATGTTTTGTCAGCTACGTGTTTTTTTTTTTTCCTTTGGAATTTGTGCAGGAAGAGTAATACCTTCATATTTTAATCAGGAAGCAAATTTCTAGCCCACACGAAATTTATTTTTTCTCAGGCCTTCAACTTCATTTTAAAAGCAGATTGCTTTGTGATGTATTTGTTTTTAAAATGCTATTGTCACTGCTCATGTAACTTCTTCTCTTTTCATAATATAGAATTTTCATCTTCGGGAACAGGGGCTTCATCGTATGAAGGTTTATATCTTCGTCTGTTACTGATTTTGCTTTCCATTGCCCAAACTGAGAAGTATTGCCTAAGAAAACCCATCATCTTGAAAAATATATTTTATTAATTTCTTGTCCAAAAGACTTCACCATTATGATTAAAGAGTATCAAACGTAACTAACTGTATAAAACAGTTTTGGCACTGGAACTGGTTTCAAAATATTTCTGTTTGGCTGGTGCTTCAAGCTGTGTTTTAGAGTTGAGTATGCCGTTGCTTCAATTATAAAGTGCTTAGTCTAACAATGGCTTGTCGCAGTTTTTAGCTTAGTTATGAGATCGCAGCTATGTTTGCAGCTGCAGAGCCCTGCAGAAGTAACTAGCTGCCCAAAATAATTAGTGGCTGCTTTGCTTATGCTTAGCTAGCTGTATAAATACGGTCTGAAAAATGAAATCCAATTCTGTTAAAACGTGGAGAGACAGCTTTTTAGGTAACCGTCTAGGTTGACATCCAGTTTTGAAAGACTTCGTGGTAAATATTTATATAGTGAGAAATAAATACAGTTGGAGTGCAGTTGAAAGGTAACAAACATTCATCTGCACAAATACTTAATTTACTATCTTTCTTAATAAAGTAATATTAAGTTAGAGGCTGAAATAATTTTTTGGAATTACTTTCTGTAAGACATGATCACCAGCCTTCTAAATGTAAACAATTTAGTTTTAAATGTAAACAAACCCAAAAATATTCTTTTTATTCCAGGTTTGTGAGGGAGGGGGGGTTGGTTTGGGTATTTTTGGTTTTAAATTTATATTCTGTTTAATTTATTACCCTCAATAATTAGTGAATGTATTAATTTAACACAAATCTGTATCTTAAAACTGGTTGTATTGAGATCTGATGTGAGCAGTTCAGTGTTAGAATTTTGTTAAAATTGGATGGTATTCCAACAAGAGCTGCAATTTTCATTCAAATTTTGATCTGTTTCTGATTCAGATGTAAGGATCTGAAAGTATCCAAATGAAAAATAGAGAACTGCAAGTATTTAATATTTTGCAGATTTTATATGGCTTTGTGTTGACAGGAAATTACATCAAGACTTTACATTCATTTTTGTTATCCATTTGTGTCACTCAGTAGTCACAGTGGCAAAGCCACACGAGGCATAACCTTTTATTTTCACTTTCTTATCTCAGCCATCCTTTCCTGTGATAAATGCATCCTTCTTTGTGTTGCAGATCACTCTTAAGGGATACCTGTTGCATGGTTTAGAATCCAGTTCTTATCTTTTTTAATACCAGGATTATTTGTCTGAAGGCAAAAAATAGGATACAAGAGGAAAAGAATATAGACTCTTTCCTGCTTGCTCAAAACTATGCAGTATTTTTCTGCATGTGTGTTGCTTACCTTGTTCTAATTCTCTTTGCACTACTTATCAAATTTATCAATTAATAGCCTTGGCATGTGTTTGATTGTTACTGAAAGAACAATCTCTTAAGTATAGATTTTAGTTGGCTCTAAGAAGAGCTTTTTAGAATCTCATACATCTAATAAATTTGTAAGGCATGAATGCAAACCCAAAAGATAACAGTAGTAATACAACCAAGGCTTCCCTAGATATGTTTTTCTGCTACAAAACAGAACACTGTTCAAAAATACAGGTATGACAGTAAGTGTTAGCAATGAAAATACCTTTTCAAGTTCTTAGATATCTTAAATATCTGACAATAAACAATAGCTGTGGTTTCCTGGCTTAGCTATTAAAACTAACAAAAATATCTAAATCCTTATGAATTGGTTTTTTAGCTAGATTAAGACATTGGGAAATTTTAATTTGTTAGTAATGGAATAAGAATAGTATAAAAATTAGATTTTATTGTAATCAGAATTAACTGAGCTTTCAGACTGTCAGTCTTGTGTGAATTTCAGCTTACTGAAAAGGGAGTTTGTGAGAAACAATGCACTGTAGCAGTTATGATTAGAGTTTGCAGTAGTCTGTGACTTACCCTGAAGTATAACCACAGAAATACTATACAAAAAATTACAACAGTAGGATTAATTATACTGATAGGAGGTTTTCTGCTATGATGTGCATCTTCTTTGTAGCTGTTTATCTAGAACAATGGCCTATGCATTTACATGATTGCAAATGTTGGTTTACTCAGCTTCAGTTATTTCCAGAAAACATGTTTTCTGTTAACGTAAGAGTATATTACTCTTTTACATAAATGAAAACCTGGTATTTGGAGTGGGGCAGAAGTTCTGTTTGTTCTGTGGGGTTTTGTACTGCATGAAGTAGTATCTAATAAGTATTGTACAATGAAGGAGGTTAGGAACAAGTACAGTCACTGCTATAATTACTTTAAATTCATATAGTATACTCAGAGAATAAAATGGTTTTAATTTACTAATAACTAATACCTAACTAATATAATAACATTTGTTCTACTTGGTTTGATAGTAATGTTACTTGTTTTTCTAGCCCTGAATGATAATTAACAAAGATATAATAGTAATGTTTTCTGTTAGTAAACACTGGAGAAACTGAAGTTGGCTTTTTACCAACGTTTGGGCCCTGTTACCTAAACTTTTATGGAAGTCCAAGAGAATACACTGGATTCCCAGACCCATATGATGAATTAAACTTTGGAAAGGTCAGTTTCTTTAGTAATTGTTTTTAGTAAAAGGATTAAACCCAACTGGTTTTAATCAATGAATGAATTCATTTTAATGTGGGGTTTTTTTGTTTCACATTACATTCCCTTTGGTGTTTCTTTTTGAATTATTTTTTATATTTTTTATTAATAAGGAGGTATGATAGCATTTTCCATTCTTAGCTGTTTCCACTTTAAAGGTGTTTTTGAAGGAGCAGCAGTGGATTTTGGTGATTTTCAGTATCTACATCTCTTCATATGTTTGTATGTATTTCCTTGTGTTTTTTTTAAAATATGTATTTTTCACTTCTGGCAATAATTAAAGCTTTGTTTCATTTGATCAAATATGTACATACATGCATCTGCAGAAGTTTTAAGAGCACTTCAGTGAAGCTAGAATCACGTACAGCGAGTACGCCACTTTAGGAGATATATATAAAATTCAATGCAATGTGTGATTATGTTGCAGGGAGAAGGAGTTGCCTATAGAGGGAGAATTCTGGTTGAACTCTCTACAATGCTTGAAAGCAAACCTGTTAATAAGAAGTTAGAGACGATTCCTAATGATGACTTACTGGTCGTAGAGGTAAATCCTTGTTTTACTGTCAGTGTTGGTAATGGAGATGTGCCTTGGCTTGTTATTTTTGGAGAATGATCTAACTTACTGAAATTTAAACAATTGAGCTGTGTCTCAGAATTAAGAGAGGTGGTTATTGATGGCATGACTACAAAAATGTCATAGCCTTGTAGCATGAAATGTTAATTTGAAATGTTTTTATAATCTCAAATACAGTAATTTATTATATACACATTATATCTTCTTGGTTGCTTCTCAGAAATTTGTAAAAACATTAAAATTATTATTTCCATTAAGAAATTGCTAATTTTTTTCTGTAATTGTGGATCCTGTTTTACAAATATTGAAATACAACTAAAAAGATTCTTCTTGTAGAAATACCAGCGCAGACGAAAGTTCTGCTTGGCTGCTGTGTTTCATTCTGCTACCATGCTGCAAGACACTGGGGAGCCTATCCAGTTTGAAGTTAGCATTGGTAACTATGGCAACAAGTTTGATACCACCTGTAAACCTCTGGCATCAACAACTCAGTACAGCCGTGCTGTTTTTGACGGTAAGGATGCTGCTGGGGATAAAATAACATAACATTCTCTTTTCGAGATGCTATTTTATAGCTTTGGAATGACAGCTCTAACTGCACTAAAAACTTATTGAAAATGTGACAGAAAAGAACACGTGGCTCTTCACAGCTTTTCAGATGAAGTTACATTTGTGGACTACATGCTGCAAAGCCTACTGAGGTTGTTAAAGAAATTTTCACAGAATTCAGTGAAATCTTTTGACCGTGTACTAGATGTGTACAGGAAAATTGGCAAGAAAAAAATCACGTTATTTTAAGGTATCTAAAAACTAGGGATTAAATAGGGAAAATACTCTTTGAACATTCTGATTTAGAATAAAATAAAAACTTGTTTTTAAACTAGGTGGCTGGCAGCCTAGAAGAAAGCAACCTAGATGGATCACAGGAAAATATATTTTGGCTATAACTTTTTTATTAGTTGCAAGCAGTAGGAGTCCTTTTTCTTTTTTTCCTGGATATTACGTTAATTAATCAGGTTTACTCTGCAAAATAATTATTTTAATATTTTATTTCAGAGATACGCTTACATTAATCTGCTATCTACGTCAGTAAGAATGTATTCTTATGGGAAAGAATAATGAACAAGTTAACAGATAATTTATTGAAAAAAATCCATTGAATTTTGGAACAATTTGGAGTAAAAGTTTACCATCCAACAGACACTATAGTGGCTGAAAAATACAAATATTTTGATAAGTTTGGACTAGCCTATATGTTCTTAATGGATTGTAGTACATAAACGAAATAAATATAGCAATTTGTGCAGTGCACAGTACGTATTCCTGCGATTAATTCTAACTCTAACATACAAATGTTTCACGCCAGGTAATTATTACTACTACTTGCCATGGGCAAACACAAAGCCAGTTGTAACACTGACTTCCTTTTGGGAGGACATAAGTCATAGATTGGACCCTGTGAATGTAATCCTAAACATGGCTGAAAGACTGGTAAGACATTTAAGATCTTTCTTTTGCTGTTATGTTTTTCATTTTTACTTTTTCTTTTCATTTAGAAGTGTAATCAAAATGTGACATATTGAGCAAATTATGAAACTGTTTTCTGGTACTTTCCCCTCCTTTTTTCCTGTTCAAAATTAAACATAGCTCAGTGTAAAAAATGGCACTGCTAATGACAGGTCTGCATTCTGGCAAGGCCCAGCATACTCCTGCTTGAATCTGCAGGGAATTCCCACAGGAAGGAGTCGTCCTCGGTGTTGGTTAGGGGCATATTAAGTCTGTAGAACTGTTATTTGCTTTGGAAGTTAGGTGCAATATCATGTATTGTTAAATACAGTGAGAAAGAACATAGGAATAGTCCTGTTAAATATGAATCAGCTTTGAACATCTGAGTCTTTTTTTCATTTGGGCTTTATACATACAAATAAATAAGATTAAAGTCTTGAAATTCATAATGACCATAAACCACAATGGAAGTTCATAAGTGCAAATCCTTTTCTTTTAAATTCCTCAGCAATCCAACTTAGCCACCTTAAAATCAGGAATGCAGGCTAAAATTTCTGAAAACCGATTAGCTGAGATGTGGCTGAAGCTGATTGATGAACTTACAGAAGATATAAGGTAAAAGTACCTTTTTTATCTCTTACATTATCATTCCAGGCCTCCTCAGAATCTTCACTATTGCCTTTACTAAGTCAGAAAACAAATTCTAAGGACTATAAAACTGATTAGCCCTATGAACCGACCTGTGAACTGGAATTCCACAAATCTCTGAGAGTAGTAAAACAGTATGGATGTTGCCAATGAAGTGAACCATCTAGTTTTGTAATTCTCCTTTATCTAAGTCACTGACAGTAACAAAACAGCAACTATTGAAAAATTCTTAAGGCAGGACTGTTCTGAAAATGTGAAATCGTGGATCTCTGCTGCCTTTCTACCATCTTGCCTTCTTTAGAATTCCGTATGTACCATTTGTTTACCTGTGTTTCAATGTTATTTCTGAAACCGAAGAGGGAAGAAATTCCATGATTTACTGGTAAGCCCAGAATAAAAAATTTAAAAGCTGTTTAGAGCTTAAGGGCCATAAAGATGACATTTTTGATTAAGCCTTTAGTCAACATGTCTTTGTTGTATGGGAGTGTTCAGAGAAGGCAATAGGAGTCAGCACTTAGGGTTTTGAAGGAGAATAAATACTAAATAGAGAGGAAGGAGTTGTATGAGAAAAACGCATTTAATAGAAGGAGATGCCTGAAAAACATTAAACAAATGGGTGATGAACCAGCACAGGAAAAGGAAAGGGAAAATGAGAGAACAGTTATCCATTAGAGGAAATAACAGAGAACATGAAATGAGAGAACATATTCATCAAGCTGTAGAGCCAATATAAAAGTGAACAGAGGAGAAAGGAAACAGTGGAGATCAGTATATACTAGCAAAGAATTATATGGTAGAAAGCTTATGTCAAAATATAAACTAGTAACTTCATAGAATACCTGCTGTGATCTAGAAGACAGAGAGAAAGAACTGACATACTTTAGGAAAGCAAAATGTGAAGGGCAATCTGTTGTCACATGGAGCCATCTAGTGAGTGTAGGAACTTTGAGTCTTACATCAGTTATATCAATCCATCCTCCTGACACACATCTGCGTTGTTACTAATTCGGTGCATTGTTTTATAAAATACCTTATCACTCAACAATTACGGAGCAATAGCACCTAGATATATCAAGCAAGTGAGCTTCCTGTGGTTCACAGGAGACAATTTTTTTCAGCAAACTGATCAAACCTGTGTGAAAGACACAATTCCCTCTGTTGAATTCATAGAACAATTTTCCTTGCCATGCTAATGTTTAAATGAGTTAGGAGTTTAAGAGAGTTTTCAGTGCACTATTTAAACCTAAAATGAGGTGACTTTCTGGACGTTCTGATCTAGTACTTTTGATTCATGTGCAAGTACTTGCACCCTGGGTAGTCAGAAGTTGCATTCAGATTAGTAGAACTAACTGTAGTGGAAGGCACAATAGTCAGTATCAAGGTTTTGCAGAATCAAAGTCCTTAAAAATAGGTCAGAGAAGAGTCAGTCTTTTCAAACTTGGCAGTGTTTTTGGAAATTATCCTTTTTTTTAAAAGTATCATATTAAAGACCTCTTAATGAACTCTGTTAAAGGGATATAGTCAGTGGTCGTTGAAAAGCTGCCTTTTCCTCAAGCCTGCACCAACTGAAAGAGGCTTGTTGTTCCTGGGGTCTACTGATTCTATAGAATTTCTTGGTTCCATTGCCTTCTGGTGACTCAGAAGTTCTGTGTCATAGATTTCTTTTAATGTTCTTCGATGTTTTCATGCCAGAGGGTTAGATAACTAGTCATAGACACAAGCTGTATTTATATATTGAATTTCTGAGAATTTACAGTTTCCAGTAAAGGAGAAGAACCTAATTTTGATCTGAAGACACTCATTTAATCTTTGAGATGTACATTCTGAGACAATAATTTTCCAATTCGAATGCAGAGGGAAATGGATTTTACTTGGTTTGGTTAGCAGCAATTACATTGCAGCATATACCTTGAGCTATTCTATGTTGGTGCTTGTTCTGTAAGCCCAGCATTTCCCTTGCTTACTGTGAACACTTTGTCAGGTGGAAATCTCTGCAGAAATAGATGCTATAGCACTATTCTGGTGTTTTTCAATGACATGAAATAATAGCACTCAATCTGTTGATACTGTATGCATGTCCACATTTAGTGTGTGGCTGAATAAAATCCATGTAGATTATTAACCATAATATGTATTCTCTTGCAGTAAACCATTTCCCCTCATAGAAGGCAAATCTAATATTACAGTCCTTGACACTCAGATAGAGAAACTGCGCCTCAAGTCTCTCAAACAGATTGGAGAAGCAGCAGCAAGGATGAGAAACGAAGCTACTGATGTGAAAGCCACTCTGACAGAAATTGAGGATTGGTTGGATAGATTACTGCAACTAAGTGAAGAGGTTAGTACTACACAATACCAGTGATTCAGTTAGTGTAGAAATAGCTGTCTAACACAGCTGTGTAATGTTCACTGTTGATCAAGCAATATCCACTCTTCTTAGAATTGTAATTTTAGATGCTGTGAAAGTAAACATGTTCCCCTCTGTAATTAGGATTTATTTAAATATAATATTCTGGTGTGTTAGCTGTATTCACTGAGAACGTGTGTTTAGAAATAACCACTCTGTGATTTGTAGAATAGGCTGTATTCTGTTTAAAGTGCCAGTGTTTTGTCCTTTCCTTTCTTTCAGAATTGCAAGTCACATTGCTGGTTCAGGGACTGCAGGCTATATGTGGTACTTCTGCAGCTTGTTGGCCATAGTAATCAACTTCTAACAGAGTTAGATCTGTTTGTTTCTCTGCTTTTTAGATTTTCAGCAACATCTTAAGTTTTCATCCTGGTTATCTCATAATTGCTTTTCACGACATTGTAGAAATGTTTTATTTTCTTTATCACTTCTGCTTTGAAAAGATACTGATTTTAAAAAAGAAGAGCAGTTATTTTGTCAGACTTGCAGCTAGCATACAAAGGTGTGCACAAAGCTGCAAAAACGTAGTAGGCTGTTTCTGTCTTCTGCTGAAAAGTCTTATGATGGTCTACTCTTAACATGGAAGCATTACAAGCACTTAAAGCAGTAGTAGATTGACCCAAAGCATTAGCATTTGGGATCCTTCACTACAGTCACCATAAAGGAACTGAGATACAAAATATCTTTAGAAAAATTTGCAAAATATATAGGAACTGGTTCTTTTAATAAAATTTGTTTGCTTTCCAACAATCTCAATGGTATTTTTAATGATTGTTTCAGAAATATATATTACATTACTTGCAAAGTAAAACAATTTCCTCTATTTATCATAGTCATGTTAATTATTGATTCAAATCCTTTGACGTAAATCCTAATTTATGTTTCTATTGTCTAAGCATTAGATTAGTTTAACATTCTATTTATTAGACTTTATTTTCCCCACAAATAATCCACAGCCACAAAACAGTATGCCTGATGTAATCATATGGATGATCCGAGGGGAGAAAAGACTGGCTTATGCTCGTGTTCCTGCTCATCAAGTGCTGTATTCCACAACAAGCCCCGAATCATCTGGTAAATATTGTGGAAAGACCCAAACAATCTTCTTAAAGGTACTTCCCCCCACCTCCCTCCCCCCGCTTAAAAAATAATTAACTTTAACTCCCTAAACTGTCGTGCCTTCTGGCAGGAGCATGAAACGTGCAAACAAACTACGAACAACTCAAGACAGATTAGAAGCCAACTGCATATAGCGTCTTCAAAATATCACAGAAATTGTAATGTAAAGTTCATCATAAGCCAGTTAGAACCAGCATCAGCCCCTAACTCTGAGGATTTTCTGGAAGAGCTCAAAATTGTGATAGAACTTTTAAAATGTTACTGGGGTTGGTGCTTTGGGGTTGGAGGTGAACGGAGACTTTCAGAGGGAATAATTAGTGTAAGTCAGAGAAGTTCCAAAAACTTATTCAAAGTTTTGGGTGGTTTTCTGCAAGCAATACAGGGTGTGTCTACATCGAGAAGTTCCCTAGTAAGGCTCTCTGCATTGAGTCTTAACCTTGAATAAGAATACCTTTCTTCATTGAAGTTTATATTGTCTTTAATTGGAATAAACCAGACAAAAGGCAATCTGATGGTAGAACAATAGCATTTACAGAGTTTGTCAATGCACTAGTAGTTACACTGCTTAATGTTTCGATGCAGTCAAGCCCGTATCTTCATGTTTTTATGCAAGCCCCCTTATTATGCATGTTATGCTGCATTGCTTCTACATTTAGTGAAGCACTCTGACAAACCTCTCTGTTTCTGGAGTCTCCTAACAAGAAGCACTAGCAACAACACTGAAGTTTTAAGTTATTGTCATAATTAAAAACTCATTGCTGGATAAAACTTGGGAGAGAATATACAGGAAGAGGGATGATACTAGTGTTAATGGGTTTGTTTTTTACATGCCCTAGGCAGGTACCATTTAAAGAATGTTTCCTTCCTGAACTATTTCTTAGTGGCTTTTGAGGAAATGCGGTACAGGAAGAGAGAAATAAATCACGTATTATTACTTATATCTGTATATTATTGTGTGTATTTTACTGAGAGCTACAATACCTGCATAACATAACAAAGAATTACTTCTTTTGTTCATTTGCCAGTACCCACAGGACAAGACGAAAGATGTCAAAATGCCTGTGGAGCTGCGAATTAACATTTGGCTTGGGCTCAGTGCAGTTGAAAAGAAGTTTAATAGCTTTGCGGAGGGAACGTTCAGTGTTTTTGCAGAAATGGTATGTCCATCATTGCTTTCTTACTTTAAACTTGGACTTGAGTGTTAGGAATTCAATTAAATTGGAGTTCTTTTGAATTTTTCTTTTGCATGCTGGGGAGAATGGGAGAGTAGTATTTATTATACTGAAACAACTAGACCCCATTCAAAGAGATTAATGATCAAGTTCATTGTGCCTACCAAATGACCTTCAGCAGACCAGATTCTGAACTGGTTAATTAGGTAAAAATCTGGTTAACTCCAGTGATTTCAAAGACATTTATTTTAGATTTTTATCAGTGTAATTAAGATTGGGATCTAGACCATTATGTTTTGGCATGTGAATAACCCTTTTATTTTAATTGCTTCTTCACTTCTACAAATGATACTTGGATACAAGTGGTTTTGCTTAATAATGGTTCTCTTGTAGCAGTAGAAAATATACTGTTACAGGAAAAACTGGTCAAAACCAGTAGATTTTACCGACAAAAGGCTGTAATATGATAACTTTTCAATGGTAAGAGTTAATGAATTCAGAATAAAAATCCTTGAAATAGTCCACAGCATATAGTAGAGATTTTGAATCATAATCGTAAGCAGCAGGTGTGTTTTATATGCCCCATCACCTAATGGTGCATATTATCCAATATTAGTATAATAGCTAATGAAACAAGACATTTTTACAGAGGCTTGTGCCACCATTGCACCTATGCTTAAGTATTTAGTAGCGCTGTAGTAAGCCACTTAAAACAGTCAATGGATGTTCAAAGCCATTATTTAAGTACAGAGTTTAAGGTGCTATTGAATATCTCAGTTTTTACTCTTCATACAGCAATCCAACAATTTTACAGGAATAAGAGCAGAAAACTCAAGACCATCATAAACTACAAATAATCCCATTAGCATAAAGGGAAAGATACTATATAAACTGGGCTCACGTCAGAATCATGCCCTAGTAGCTTTCATGATAAGACTATAATTCAGTTTTACATGTTATGAAAGAAGAGATTAAATAGGAGGAGATTTGAGATGGAAAAGAATGAGAGGATCATGCATTTGGGGAACAGAAGAAACTTGTTTGAATAATGAAATGGAATTTTATTTAAGAAAGCTTTAATTTGGAGAAAGTTTGCCTGTAGCTGCAGAGGCATTAAACTGAGAAGACAGTTTAGTTTAGCAGTGGAATCATTGTTTACCAGGCAGCATAGAAAAAAATGAAAGATGGAAATTAATTATGACATTTTAGAGTAATGTGGGAAGGGCATACTTAATTTCAGAGAAAGGTAATGTGTAGTAGTGTGTTTCAGTTGTAACAGTAACATAAATATCTTAATTTTTTCCTCTCAAAAGCTTTTTATTATTCCTAAAGTTTTTTTCTTTCTTCTCAAATAGTATGAAAATCAGGCTCTTCTTTTTGGAAAGTGGGGTACCTCAGGACTTGTTGGTCGCCACAAGTTTTCCGATGTCACAGGGAAAATCAAACTGAAAAGGGAGTACTTTCTACCCCCAAAGGGCTGGGAGTGGGAAGGAGAATGGATGGTTGATCCTGAAAGAAGGTGAGACTTTTTTTAATTTTATGCAGGCAGGAATAAAGGAGTTTAATCTAACTGTAGAGTAAAAGCTCCTCTCTGTTTTCTTGGCTGAGAAAGAGATTTTAGGCTGAACTTTCCAGGACAGCAAAAGCCAGCCAATAGTCAAAACTAGTTAATAACACTAAAAATAACATTACCTTTTTTAAAAAGTAAAATAAAACTTAGAACAAAGAGAATATATCCATTTCCTAGGAACCAGCTTATGGTTTAGAAGTCCCCATGTGATGATAGGTGTATTGCTTACATTCTCCATGTCTCAGTACCTCATCTTCAAAAAAGGGATAATAATACTTTTCCTTTCCTAGAAAGCTACTGTGAGGATCACTTGTGTCTGTGTGAGGTTCTCAGATCCTGCTATGATGGTTTCAGACAAGACCCTTAAATAGCTAGATCTTCCACAGGTAGAAACTTAACTCTGACATCCAGTATAAATCTGCAGTTCCTGTTGTGTCAACACCATTACAGCATTTGCATAGTCATTTGCATACAATGGATAGGTTTTTGTGTTTATTTCACTAAATGCTGAGAAGTTCCATTGCCCTCGTCAAACAACTGCCACAAGTTATTTCTCAAACTGACTCAAGGCAGGGGTTGTTTTCAGAGCCTGAGGTTGTGGTGCCATATGACAATTCTTCCCCTGGCGGATGGAATTCACAAGGTGTCAATCCTCCCCCTGGCTCTAGCAGGTTCGGTCTTGCTCTGTCAGAGGTTTTCAACTCCTGAGTTGTGCCAGTTCAGCTATTTGTGTTGCCACACTTCAAACCAGACTGACTGGGTAAATTATTTGTTTCATAGAGAAAAGTCAGTGTGAACAAGAGATGATTTTCTTTTTTCTTAAAATAAAAGGTTGAGCCTATTTGGTATTCTTGTGTTCTGATGGTAAAAAAAATACAGGACTGTTGCTATAGAAAAACTGTGCGGGAAAAATATGTGCTATCATTTGATCTGTTTTAAAATCATATCAGTTTATAGGGATGAATGGGTGGATTTTTTTTTTTTATTCAAGGAAAAGTTTTTATTTCAATGAATAATCTGACATGAAGAAAATCAGTTACAGACATGGAGATATTTGCTCAGATAATGGAAAAAACCCCCCTACTGTTAAAGCACGTAAGCATGTATATGCCTGGCATCTGCTTTTATTGGAAAATAATCTGCATAGCTTTATTTGACCAGCAGATGGCATTTTAGAACATACTTTCTGAATCACAGTTATTCATAAGTGCCAATCAAGGCTATTTTGTCCTATTTAATGTTTTCTTATTTCTTTCTAACTTAAAAGTTAGAAGAATAGTAGCCAAGTGATTCCTTGCCTTGTCAACAGCATAAAGGGACACAAAATTAAGTACATTACTAAATTTTAGTGCATAGCTAGATATATAAAAATTGGAGATGCATATAACTGTCATGTGCAGTCTGGGTTTTTCTACACTTAAATATATGATGCTTTTTCTTTTTCCAAGAGGAAGTGTTGAAAGCAGGTCCTGAATAAGACAGCAGTTGAAAGTCTAGTTGAAAGAGCTAGTCACTCGTTCTTATGAGTAATGTTCCTCCTATTGCTTACTACTACTGGAGTTACTTCAGTTTTAGGAAGACATTCTGAGGAAATAAGTAGCCCTCATATAGATGAGGGCTACACTGTACTCTATTAATAAATAGAACTTCACGAAGATGGACAATCCAAAATTCCAGCACGTGTGCACATTCTCTACATTGTTTCTATATATTCTCTGTAGCTAACTAAAATACATTTGGTTTAGTATTATATTTGCTTTGGATTTGCAGTTTGTTGACCGAAGCTGATGCTGGTCATACTGAGTTTACTGATGAAGTATATGAAAATGAGAGTCGCTATCCTGGGGGGGAATGGAAAGCAGCTGAAGAGAGTTACACAGATGTGGTGAGACTTACATTTTTCACTGGATAAGTAAAAGTTTAAGGGA